AACCTACCACTTGCAACTTCATGGATTAAACATGAAGGCATTCTGCTAAGTGAAGTAAGTCAGAGAGAGGACAGCAAAAGCTGTATGTACTCATATATGTAGAATCTAAAAAATTTTATTGTCGTTCCTAGGATGAGAGCTTTAAAAAACATAAGATGTTTTTAGTTTGTAGAGTGAAAAACCAGGGAAACTATAAATTTTAAATTGTATTTGTTCATCCAAATTCTTATTAACACCTGTTATTTTCTGGGCACCAGTCTAGAGAGTGTGAATATTGTAAGGTATGAGATGCCGCCCAGGGCCTCAGGAGCTGTCTATTGGGGACTTGTAATGTGCTCTGTGTAGAGAGACCTCTTTCCTTCCTCTACCATACTGAGCTCAGTCTTTCCCTGAGGACTCGTCATTCATCCGTAGTCCTGTGTATAGATTTTCTCTCATCATGCTTTTGGACTCTACTCAAATATCACCTCCCTCAGAGGGGTTTTACCTGATTTCTACTCATTCATATACCATCAACACTCTCAAATCAACATTTCACCATATATATTCACCATGAATAGCTCTATCACATTTTTATGTGGAAAATAAAATTTCATCTATTCATTGATTCCACTAGAATCAACTTCCACTAGAATATAAGCTCCATGAGAGCAGGAGTTTTGCCTGGCTTATTTGTAAGTGTATGTATTTGTAGCATTAAAAAGAATGCCTAATATGCGCATGATTAAAAATTTTAAATCAGACAGTGAAACAACTGAAGTGGGATGAATGAATCTAGCAATTAACTCTTTACAATCCAATACAATTATTGCTTTGGTGGAAAAAAAGATCTGGGTATGTCCTGCTATCTAACAAACAAGGAGTTAGTAAACCATCCTAGGAGAAGACAAGGACTACTTCACTATTTCCTAGCGCAAATGAAAACATAAATTTGATGTGGACAAGAAAACTGCAACTTGTTCTAGAATTTCATGTAGTTCAGCACATCCAGAGGAAAAAAGAAGAAAGGATGATGTGGAAAAAGTTGGAGGAGAAAATGGGCAGAAAGCAAGGAACCCCATCTGAAGAAGCCAGGGAGTCCCATTAGGGAGGTCAGCCTTTTTCCAGAGGGCAGTGAGGAACAGTGGTGAGGATAGATAGACCCTGAACAATGGCCAATGGGGGAGGGCCAGGGATTTGGAAGAGATCTATCTTGTACAATGCTCACTTCAGAAGCACTATAAGCCAGGTTACTGAGTAATTCACTCAAGAAATGATGAGGGGCCTCCCTAGTGGTGCAAGGGGTTAAGACACAGCCTATGAAGCTATCCGCAGCCACTGCAGCATGACTTCAGTCCCCAGCCAGAGAGCTATCCACGAGGCATGGCAGACCTCTCCTGACCCCTCAGCAGTGTATTTCAGTCTATTCGCCTGTTCTGTTCCCCACTGTCTCTGGTGAATCCTCTCACCCCCACACCTCTGGCCTGTACCCCAGTTCTTGTATGCATAAATAATCTTAAAAAAAAAAGAAATGATGAGAAACTAAACTAAAGCTAGAGATAAGTAAGCATAGCAGAGGAAAAGGTCTGGAAAACCATCAAAGGTAAACAGTAAGCTCAATAGTAGGTGTCAAATTCAATTCCGCAAGTGGTGCAATTCCTTAGCCCAGGTCTTCATTTTCTTTCAAGCTGTCCCTAGAGCTGCAGTTATAGTCTCTGGAGAATGTACAGAAGCTAAGACCCAGCTTGTAGACCAACCTTATGGCCAGGAGTCTGGGAAGACACCCTTGGAGGCCAACCACTCCTACTGGAAGCAGAAAAATTGAAACATGCTCTTTGGGCAGACAGGTCAGCATCAGAGTGGACCACTTATATTCTAATATATATGGTAGAGTAAGATGTCAGATATTCTCCTTGCTGATTAAAAGCTATTTTAGATAAGATTACCTATTCACTTATACACTTACCTATTTAGTATATTCACTTAAGTAGTTTTTGAAGACCTACTTTATGCTATACACTGGGAACAGATCCTTAAGCAATCTGTGATTTAGTGAAGGAAACAAATAAAAAGACAATTTAAAAGATCTGTGATCAGTATTGAACACAAGTGGGCCTCCCCTGGTGGTGTGGCAGTTGAGCACTGGGCTGCGAGGCTGCCCACAGTCTCTGCAGTGCCGGTTCGTTCCCTGGCCGCCGGCAAGGGTCCCACAAGTGAAAAAAAAAAAGTATTGAACATAAGTACTCAAGCCAAAAAAAGCACATAGCAGAACCCCATACTCTAAAGATGAGTTTGAGAGTGGAAAGTCTTAGATCAGTAAGAGAAAAGAACTGCTCCCCAAAGAGAAAAGCAACTTCACACTAAAGGAAGATAAATGCTTATTTGAAAAAAGAAAAAAGTCAACTTAGATATAAATACAGTGCATCAAAAACATCCCAAGTTGGGCCTCCAGAGTGGTATAAGGGGTTAAGTCTCAGCACTATGAAGCTATCTGCAGCCACTGCAGCACAAATTCAATCCCCCACCAGGGAGCTACCCACATGGCATAGCAGACCTCTCCCAACTTGCCCACTGCTCCCCTCAGCAGCGTATTTCAGTAGATCTGCCTGTTCTGCTCACCACTCTGTCTCTGGTGCATCCTCTTACTGCCCCCCTGCACCTCTGGCCTCTATCCCAGTTCTTGTATGCATACATAAATAAATGTTTAAAAAATTACATAAAAATTAAAGAAAATCACAAGTTAATAATATAATATTTATTGAGTGTATAAAATGTGCCAGGATCTATGAGTTTTATACATTTTTTTCTCCTTTCGACCTCACACCAAACTTATGAGATAGTAACAATGTTTTTCTTACTTCATAAGTAAACATTGAGATTCAGATTAGTTAAATACTTTTTGCAGGTCACACAATGGTGACAGAGTTGGGTGTCAGTGTGAGTGCAGAGCTCTTCATTGGAGTTGGGGCCCTGACCTCTGTGGTTAATGCCCTGTCTACCCTTGCTACTCACAGCGTTTAAGAGACTTGCTGCTAGCCACAGACAGTGAGGGTGGATATTCAATCCTGTGTTGGTTGAGCCTCAGAGTTTCAGCCCTTTATCCAGCTACATCTTAAGGCTAGATACCAGGGTGTGGGGGAGGGGATAAGGAAATACACGAAAAGAAAATGTTCTTTTCCTTGTCTCATTTCTCTAAGGGATGAGTCAGGCAAGTCCTACCTCCCACCTAGGTGTCTAGGTTCTACAGGGGACTTTGTCAGAAGTGATTAGTCCTGGGTCAGGAGAGGGCTGGCTGCTGGGCTTGACTCATCCCCACCCACTACTTCCATCACTCCCATTGCTTACTGAGAAAGCTCAAAATGCCTCATAGACAGTTATTCTCAACGAATATTTGCCTGTAAATTCTATACTGGGTAGACAAACACTTTTTTCAAAGACAGTAATTTAAAGTATAATTATTATATTATTCTTGAAAAACTGAAATGCTAGTGAATAGGGCTCCAGGACCTAATTCCAACATGAGTGTATGTGGAAATTTCCCCACCTCACAGAAAACAGGGTGTCTGAGAATTCAATTCAATTTTCACATTATCTACCCAGAGATAGTCTCAGATGCCACAGGTAAGGACTGTCACCCAGGATTGCTCGCCTCTTCAAAGCCAGTTGCAGATCCAGGCCTGACCTTCTGATCAATTGAGTATAGACTGAAGATGCTCATAACCCCCTCCTCAGACCTCAGGCACCAATTGAAAGCCCAGGTTATTATCTGTGCTTCTGACCAACTGGGCTGTAAATTGGAGAGTCCCACACCCCCACCTCTAGATGGATTAATTTGCTAGAACAGTTCACAACTTAGGAAATCTCTTCACTCACCAAATCACCAATCTATTGCAAAGGTTATATCTCAGGAACAGTCAAATGGAAGAGATACAGAGAGCAAGGTATAGGGGAAAGACACATCCTCTTGACTTTTTAATAGAGGCTTCATTACTTAGGCAGAATTGATTAAATTATTGGTTATTGGCAATTGAACTCAGTCTCTAGTTCCTCTCCCTTCCCAGAGGTTGAACCTAATGTCCCAACCCTCTAATCGCATGGTTGGCTCTCCTGGCAACAAGCCCCCATCATTAGGTGCTTCCAAAAAGTCACCTCATTCACATAACAGAAGACTCCTGTATAAATTTGGCATCTGACCAAAATGACCATTGACCATATGACCAAATACATATTTCTTATAAAACACAATATGGCAGTTAGCCAAAATTTATGTTGATATTTTCAATTTTCAATAATTTTACATCAGTATCCCAAGAATTTCATGCAAAAGAGGTGATATTTCCAATGATAGTCATGTTTCACCAGCTCCTTCTTGAATAAGTATTAGACCCTAATTTTTTCCTTGCCTGAAAGATGTCCCAAGTTATTTCAGTGGGCAACTGGAGGAGTCTCAAGTAACCCCCTACAGTTATTTTTCTCCACATTTCCCAGAATTCAGTCTCTGCTTCTACTCCACAGGGTGAGAGCTGCTTTTCTGCTCCTCCCTGCTGCTTCCCTAAAAGGCACATGTGAGCTTGTCTCCCTCGGCAAGCAGACTGGCTCTTTTCTATCAAAATCAGTATATGCCTTTCTCTACAACTCTCCCTTAAACCTTCCTAGCTGGGCCCCGAACCAGTATTTGCAAGTGACTTGCAAAAACAATAGCTTCAAAATCTGCCGTTTCTCCATGGAGCTCAGACTGGGAAGAAATCCCAGGAGTCTTTTCCCTTCCAGCCACCTGCACCCAGAGGACGATTCTGGCCTCATGTCTAACAACTTGCCCAAAATGGAAACCCCCAGCAGCTCATATCACCCCATCTAACTACTGGTCTTGGCCACGGCGCTATCTTCTTGAATAAATACAGTCACATAAAAATGATTGAGGAGCTCTTGGAATCCTGCGGTGAGAAAGACAAATGAAATAACACTGAAAAAGATATGATCTTTTTTACAAACTTACCTAAGAGTGGCTCTTTCTACTTCAGAAAATGGAGTCCAAGAAAGAAGTTTCCTCACACCTTCCTGGAGAGTTTGCTTGGCCCTGAGCAGCCTGCCTAGACTGAAGCAGAAGAAGATGCCAGGTCAGGTATTCACAGAGGCTGCGGGGCTGACGATGAGCCCCAACAGGTGGAACAAAAAGTCACAAGTCTTATCAATTACCCTGCAACCTGAATAAGCCACAGAATCTGAAGCTTGTGTTTGTTTCTATGCAAAATGGGGATAATTAAACCATCTTGACTGGATTTTTGAGGTTGATCATACATTTTTAAAATGCAAGAACCAGAAAACTTTTTTCATCATAACATTGCTAGCAAGGAAGGACAAGAGCCAAAGTTTAGAAGAGGGTAGGGGTGGAGAAAGGTGAAGGAGGAAGAAGTTTGAAGAGGAGATGGGACAAAGATTATGGGACAAAGAAGGAGTAGCAGGCTAGGGAGTTTCCTCAGGAGAGAACTAAAAGCCCAAGGAGACAGAAAGAGACAGAAGTAGCCAAAGGGGCCAAAGACACTATCTAGATTGAGGTCTACTCAGGAGTCATAGACACTCTTTCAAATATTTCACTGTCATCTCTGACTTAAAACGTAAGTAGTTTTGGGCCTCCCCTTGTGGCGCAGCGGTTGAGCCCTGGGCTGTGAAGCTGCCCATAGCCTCTGCGCGCAGGTTCAATCCCCGGCCACCAGCGAGGGTCCCACATGGTACGACAGACCTCTCCTGCCGCACCGGGTGCTCCCCTCAGCAGTGTATTTCATCAGTCTGCCTGCTCTGTTCCCCACTCTGGCTCTGGTGAATTCTCTCACCCTCCCACGCTTCTGACTGTACCCAGTGCTTGTATTAGTAAATAAATAAATCTTAAAAAAAAAAAAAAGTAGGTAGTTTCTGCCTAGAATACTGCAGAAACTTCAGGTAAGGAGTCTTGTAAGCTGAAAAGTGAGCAACAAGTGTGAATTAATGCCACTCAGACTTCCTGGCCTGAGATTCTTAGGGGGTGGGGAGAGTGTATGCAAAGGTGTGTATACCTTTCTCACACATGTAGGCCTCAACCCTAAGTGTGAGTTAGAGAAAATTGACAATGTGAAGGCTACCAACTTCCCTCCAAGTGCTGTTCTCTTTTCTGCAGCTCTTTAAATTGCAGGTGATTCAGTGTTTCACCTCTCAGAATTGGGAGAATATGTAAAAATTCCTTCTTAGAGGGCCAGTGATTCCAGCAACAAAACCTAGGTAAGGGTATGAGGATGTGGTCACTGAGACTTGTAACACAAATGAGTGGTTTTGTAGGGATGGTTAAAATTATGTTTGATGGGAATTGAATATTCAAGGTAATGAATTATTTTTTTAAGATTTATTTATTTATTTATACAAGAACCGGGGTACAGGCTAGATTTGCGGGAGGGTGAGAGGATTCACCAGAGACAGAGTGGGGAACAGAACAGGCAGACTGACGAAACACACTGCTGAGGGGAGCAGTGGGCGAGACAGGGGAGGTCTGCCTCGCCATGTGGGACACTCGCCGGCTGGCCAGGATCGAACCGGCACTGCAGAGGCTGCGGACAGCTTCACAGTGTGGCACTCAACCGCCTGTGCCACCACGGGAGGCCCAATTTAATGAATTATTAAGTGTAGTTTTGAGATGATGCAATAAATGTTTCTGTTGCGGTTTCTGTTAGAAGTTTTGGGCCTCACCTCAGGAAGAATTTAAGAGAATAAAGTCTTTTCATTGTATAGGTTGCAAGAGAGGACATTTAACATATGCAGAGTGACTGACACCATCTCAAACCTCAGGTGCAACTCTGTCCCTAACTGATAAGGCAACTGTTGATATCCGGAAACCTCCACACAAGAAGTGGTTTTGACCCAAAGTAGGAACAACTACTTCGATAATCTTGAGTTCCAGTTGTGGCAGTGGAGCAATGGGGAATCCCAGGTGAGTCCACTCTCACAGTCCGAAAGCAGGCAGCACAAAAAACTAGCTGTCCAATCTCTGTCCCTCGCTCTCGGCCTCACCTCATGTTGTGTAAATACATTTCACACACACCGGACCCCAGCCCAACACACACACACACACACACACACACAAACACTTTCAGAAGTAAGAAGGAGGAGGGGGTAGCAGCAATCAAGAGTATATATGGTTAATCTCACATTTTCTCATTAGAATCATTACTTTAGGGGTTCTTGAGTAGGAAAGCACCTCAAGTTTTAATATGTCATGGATAAAGGCCTACAATGCCCTAACCTCCTGGGGTTCATTAACATTTTTTTAAACATTTATTTATTTATGCATACAAGAACTGGGGTACAGGCCAGAGGTGTGGGGGGTGGTGAGAGGATTCACTAGAGACAGAGTGGGGAGCAGAACAGGCAGATCAACTGAAATACACTGCTGAGGGGAGCAGCGGGTGAGTCAGGAGAGGTCTTTTGAGCCATGTGGGTAGCTCCCTGATCGGGGATTGAATTCTTGCTGCAATGGCTGTGAATAGCTTCATAGGTTGTGTCTTAACCCTTGTGCCACCAGGGAGGCCTAGGTTCATTTACATTTTTAGGAAACTTTAGAGTGTATATAATTCTTACTTTAAAACAATGAACCAATAATAGTTGAATCTTAGGCATTCAGACAGTCTGAGAAACTTTGGGATGATTTTCTGCTTTCACACAGCTAACAATGGCTGACACACAAGTCTAGCCTCTGTACCTGGAGATGTGTGTCTAGCATGTAGCAGAACATTTGCTCTGTCTGTTCTTGGAGGGGTCCAGGGAGGTCTGAGTGGCCAGTGAAGGCACTACCTCCCTTGCCATCTTAGCAGCTCTAAGAGGGTGGAGTATTTTTCTTTGAGGCCAAGGTTGGCACAGAGAACTTCCTCACTGAAATTTTCTGCCAGGCTGAGTTGTTTTCTTGCATAATTCTGCCCCCTACCCCCACCCCACCCCACTGGCCTTTGGTCAAGTTTCTGGGATTTTGGCGTATGTCTGTGGGGTTGTATCTATTCCTTCCTGGTGCAATGGAGTGAAGATATGTTTTCTCTTGGGTGAAATTTACAAGCACGTTTTCCTCCTTGACAGGAACAAAGAGCCACAAACATTTCCTTTGGGGAGAAAAAAGCTTCCAGATGCAGGGCTCCAAATGTGAGGGTTTTTTTTTCCTTTTCTTTTGGCTTTTTTTTTAAGCTTAATAATTACACTGGACATATTTATACTGAAGAAGGCCCACAGTTTTCATCCTAACAGGGACTTCACTAAAATCTCCAAGTCAGAAATACATCTGTGTGTCTGTTGCTTGGGCTTCACGCCACTGATCTCTCTCTTAAAGCAGTCACCACGGAGACCTTGAGTTTCAACCCTGTCTAGAGACTGAAGAAGATAGGAGAAGGCCCTTTTTTCTTCTTATTTTCCTTAGCTATGTTGGCACAGACTGCAATTTTTTTTTTAATCTAAACTCTTGAACTGTTAGAGAACTACTTTCAAATTGTCTCTAGTTAAAGAAGGAATTAAAATGTTGAGAAAACCCTCCAACAAATTTTCATAACCACAAGTTTTTATAGGTTGAAAACTAATTAAGGCATTCTAATTGGTATCATTGTCTATTTTAGAATAGTATTTTCCAAGACTAAAAAAAAAAAATAAACAGTTTATAAAACTGATAATCTAAGTTTTGTTCTCACCATCATCTGAATAATTGCAGAAGATAATTAGCTCACATGTGCAAAATCATTGTTACCTAGGAGTTTTTGAAAGTTTGAAGAAATAAGCTACTTATACTTAATTAGAAAAATTTTTCTCTTTTCAGTGTTGGCAAAGAATAGGCTAAGACCTAAGAAATCTCTTTGGTTATGGTAGGGTAAATGAAGATTGCTCAGGCTTTTGTGCTGTTGGCCAATGTAGCTATCACCTGTGCCCTTGAATGCAGGAGGCACTTGGGAGCATGGGCTCTGATACGCGTGCCTGATAGTGGACACCTGGGTAGGGTGTGGGCATGCATAGTGGGCATGCCTGAGCCTGAAGGCTGAGCGTATAAGAGCTGCATCACAGAAGGCAGAGGGGTAGAGAGACCACGAGACAGTGCCAGAGAGGCCAGAGAGAGTAAAGATTAACCACGGGCTGGGAGGCCTGCCAACCTCCTGGCCCCTGAACCCTCGACCCCCCTGCCTGCCCTGCACCTGGTTGCCTCACTACAAATGATATGGAAAGATCATTAAAAGGCTGAAAAAGGCACTGAGGGCTCCCGGACTCTCCATTATCCGACTTCCCAGATCCATAGAGAAGCTGCCCTGTGCCTTGCAGGCACTACACTTATACACCTTATAAGCAAACATGGAGATATTTAACGGCAGTAAAAGGTTTTAGCCCATTTTTATTCTAACAGGGATGAAACTCACATGCATATGAATCAAATCCTGCTTCAGTGGGTCTGGGGCTGAAGCAATACTCTGCAGCTCCCTGGAGATGCAGACTGTTCTGCTCCACAGTGCACACCTTGCAGGTATGGTGTAGAGGACAGTGCTTCTCCCTTCCCTTTCCCACTCAAGGGGGAGACATATAAATAGCAGAGTCAGAGGGCACCAAGTAAATGCAGGGCAGGGTCTTCTAGAGAGTTTAGAGATTGCTGGGTATGTTCTTACAGTGAGTTGTAGTCTAATCTGTGCTATTCAAAAAATAGGAGAATCCCTCCTAAATTCAAAGCCCTAGGTTAAGCTACTATATAACATGATATAATAGAAACAATAATCTCATTAAATTTAACATCTGTGCTTTTTTAAGGATAGAAAAATTCCCCATTGCTAATTTTTTCCCCTCTTTGTTTTTATTTTGGAAGTTTTCAAACCTACAGAAAAGTTAAAAAATTGATATAACAAACAACTTCAAGCCTAGATTTACCAACCCGTAACTTGCTGACATAGTTTTGTCTCTGTTTATGTCTGTGTGTGTGCAGACATATGCACACAAAAGATAAACATCTATTTAACTTATTTTAATATTTTTGGCCAAATCATTTGAAAATGACTTGCAGATTTCCATTGTTCTTTATCAAATTGCTATTGTTTGTCTTCAGCAAACACAGCTACAAACTGGCATGTTGACCGAGAGCTCTGTGTGTGCAGGAAGCCAAGGCCACTTGGAGTTTCTCAGACTTTCTAGGATTGGGCTTACAAGGAGAAAGAAGCAGATGGTGGAGACCTTCACTCCTACTTAAAATCCTTCAGCTAATCTAGTTACCTCACTTTATATTGTCTTTAAGAAGCC